GGTGTATCCAGGCTGCAGGGGCTGCACACAGTGGCATTGTTAAAAGGGGGGTGGGGGGGTTGGATGCAGCTGATAAGGTTGAGAGAAATGGATCATTCCCCTCAAACCCTCCCCTCACACAGGACCCTCTTGTTGCTGTTTAGGTTTAGGTTGGACAGAAAGTACAGATCTGGTGCACACTTCACTGAAGATCAAAGTTTCACAGGAACAAAACTTTAGGATGCTGTTTGAATAAGAAAAGTCGTACATTTATAGATGACTTCARTTTGATTTCACCCAAAACTTTGGGTCCTGCAGTCACTTCAGATTGTTACAGGCTGTTCAAAAGCAAGAAAGATCCATGAATAAGTGCAATCTGACTCTGGTGCAATAATCTGACTCAAATTACGGCAACAGAAACTTCTTTACATATAATTTGTGGCTCAAGGGATAAGAAACAGCATGTTTTTGTTGTTGAGTAAAGCAGCTTATAAAACGTGTGTCATTTGTGGCTGAACTATGTGTTAAGGTTTGTTGTTTTACAAATTATTATTTACAGTTGTGTTTGACCTTTTCACCTTTAAAACCATTTAGCCCTTTTTATGTCAGTTTATTTTTTTTAGCTGTTGTGATATCATATTGTGATATCTCTTTGAAATTGTTTGATTTGGACAGTTTTAAACATTTTTTATGGTCATTTAGTGAATTTTGTAAGATTTAGCCTTTTTGTGGCGACTTTATTTCCTTCTAACTGCACTTTTTTCTGCGTTGATGGAGCCGTTCCAGATGTGACGGCTGCCTCCGAGTAGGCACTAATGTACCTCCATAACTTCAGAGAGGTCAGTTATTGAATTGTGCTTTGATAATAGACTGGATGGTCCATCTCTTCTTTACAGACAGAATTTTAAACATATGTGTCTGACCATGGAACAGTTTTCCATTTCGCCTCAGTCGATTTTTAATGAGCTTTGGCTCGGAGAAGAAGATAACTTCTCTGGATGGCTTTGGACATGGCTTCTTCATTGTGCGATAGAGCTTTATGGTAGATCATGTTGCAGCAAACTGTTTATAAACAATAATCTGTGGAAGTGTTCCTGAGTCCACGCATTGATGTCCACCCAGATGCAGACCTGTTTTTCATGCAGCGCCACAGACATCCAGTATGAAAACATTTTGTCCTTTGAGCACAGAGATTTCTCCAGATTCTTGAATTATGTTGAAAATAATTTGAACTAAAAGTCAGAATAACAACCGTACACACTCACACAGGGACAATTTAAACCAATTAAACTAACATGCATGTTTATTTGGTGGGAGGAAACCAGATCAACATTGAATCCACTACAGTTTCCATGCCAGGTCACTAGCTGCTGTGATTTTGTTTTTATTTTAATTACACGAGCACAAACTGAAAACAGTCACAGGTCCGTTCACTAAAGTGAGAATTGTAGATCTGCTGATGGAGTAGATGGTTATATGACAAATATATTCTATGTCAGAGGCTCAAATAAAGAAAAAAAAGAAGTAAGCAGCACAAACACTGCTATTGTTTTTTCTCATCTACTCACTTGTGCGCAGAAAAACTATTGACTGCAGTCGTCCATCTTGTATTCACGCAATTTCACACTGATACCCGATGTTACCAAAATTTCCACTCTGAGGTCTGGATTCCAAAAGTTTTGGTGTCATAGAAAAGAATGCATGTTAAACACACCCAAAATGTTTTGTTTGATAAAACCAAATCCAACCCTAAAAAMCTAAAATGCTAATTTTATACCCCTCCTCCTATCTGGAAACCTAATTATTTCCAAAAATAACTCCTCCAGTTGTTTCTTATCTGTTCTTCATATTTTTTACAACTTTTTGTTTCCCAGTGTCAACTACTTTATTTTTTCAAAACAATTTATTAGTTTAAGCATTTGATACATTTATTATGTTCCATTGTGAATGAAACATGTATTTTAAAAATGTTTTCATTTATGAATAAAAAAAATACGTTTTCCTAAAAGCTGCTTACATGGGGGCTGTCAGAGAAGAAGTGAGTCCTAACAGGATGCAGCAGCTTGGAGCACATCCCTCACCTGCCTCAGCTTCTCTCCTCCGACTCTCAGCTGCTCCACATCCTGTCTGTCCGAAGCGCGAGCCACTTCACGGACCACCGGAAACTTACCCACAAACTTTACGCGCTGCTTTTATTAATTATTTTTGCGGGGGTTAACACTTTTACCACCGTTTATTTACATATTGTTTTCATTTGGAGAAACTTAGCAAAGTTGATCATGAAGTTTGCGAGAGATGAAGCGAAGCTGCGGCTCAGTTTTTGACTCGCATCTCTTTTTTCCGACACTATAATTTTAAAAACAAAGGAAGGCGTGAGAGGTTTTGAGCGTCGACTTTGCACGTTTGAAGGACTTTAAACAAGACATAAAAAACGGCACGTTTTAAACAAACAAACAAACAAAAAAAAGTATCTAAAAACGGGATTTTGTCATGTTTATATGAACGTTTCCCACCCCCCCATAATCCGAATTGGTTTTGTTCGGACGAGGGGAGACTTTGATGGAGTTTTTATGTGGGACCCGCTAGGATGGACGTGGTAGATGAAACAGAAGCGTTACAGAGGTTTTTTGAAGGTAAGACTTCCTCCTTTTTACGTCTCAAACTGTTTGTAAACATTTCTTTAAACGAAAATTAGAAAACAAGTAAATAATAAAACTAATGTCACAAGCTGGCTGAATTTTTTTTATAATTTTTAATGTTTGGAAATAAAGTTTTTTTTTTAAGTCTGTTTAAACCAATTTGTAAGAACAATGAAGTTGATTTATATTTTTTGTGATCTTTTAGGATTTGTGGCTTTTGGAAGAAAAAAAAGTTTTCGAGACATCTGATTTATATTTTTAAGCCCATTCTGGCTAAAGAAAAAAAAAGTGCAGATGATGGCTAACAGACTGAGTAAAATAAAGATTTTGGGTGGGTGGGAATAGGTGGGACTGAAGGTGGAGGAGTTCAAGTTAAGATAAATTATGTTTTGCAAGTTTACGGTAACTCCAGGGTCCAAAATGTCTTCTTGTTAAGATGTTTTATTTTAGATTTATTCTAATAATTTCACTAMTATCAATTTGATTTACTATATTGAGTTTATTCAGTCATAATTTATACAACTCTATTCCTGCTGTTTATTCGCCATCACACATCAAACTAATTATGTGAAATTATTTCTGAGAATTTTGCAGTTAAATCTAAAATTCTGTTTTGAGTCCTGTTTATGTAACAGAAGGTGTGAGGAGAAGTCAGGAGCTCATAAACACCCTCTCACTTTAAACCACTTAAATATACACAAGCATGTAGGACTGTCAGGGGCTCCTCTGAGCCGTTCTGACAGGAATTTACTGTGTTTACATTCTTTGCTTTGGGAGGAAGAGAGATGTTCTTACTTTATTGGCTTTATTTTAGACACACTTGCTTGGACTAAAATGTCAACTTGTCCATGAGAGGTACGCAGTAGGTGCTCATTCTCCTCCTTATCTTAACTTTCCCCCTTAATTAGATCGTTTGCCTTATCATGAGCTTAGGATTTCAGCAGATTCTGTTGGGTGACAGAATGGTTTTTATATCAAAGACGATGAATTTCATCTCACCTGAAACAGCAGCATAGTGGATTTCAAGCTCTGGGGGGAAAAAAGGGTGTTTTAGTGAAATATGTATACATTAATGTACATTCCTGGCATAGTCCTGGTGGCTGTTAAAACACAATGAGGTGAGGCTGGTGTTTCTCTTCAGCTCTTTGGCCTCTCGCTCCTGCTCTCTCTGACTCCATTAGAGTGACGGTGAGCAGACAGGGTGAGGAGGTGACATACAGCAGGCCCCCGGGGTGGAGAGGTGGAGAACCGAGAACTCCTCTCAAAACTTGACCTCTTTCTTTTCCYGAGACGACAAAATAATCACAAAGAAAAGCATCGCAGCGTGCTTCACTGCTGTGTGTCATATTTTTGTTTAAAAAAGAAGAAGAAGAAATGAGAAGATGGCATCTTTCAGCCCTGATTCATAGACTGAGATGGACCTCTTTCTTTGGTACGTTTTGAGGCTGGATTGGATGCAACAGTTTTTATCAATTACATTCTCAGATGTGTTTAAAGCAAAAAAATAAAAATAAATAAAAAACAAAAGAAATAGTGGGTTTAAAATCTTCATTGCAACTGACCACAAAACTTGAACAGACTTGACAGAAAATAAAGTTGTCACATTTTATGACATCATTTTATATGCAAAATCTGTAAAATTTGCCATCACAAATGCCTGATAATAATAGTTCAATTCTATATTACAGTCATGCTACTTTCACTTGTTGTAAAAATGTTTTATACAATGGCTTCTCATGATAGCCGTATCTAAAAACCTTTGAAATTGGCCTCTGTCTCTTTAAGAGCTTCCTACTGTTTCTGACACTCCCACTTCAGCACGTCTTCAAAACAATGCTTCATGCTGTATACATCCTTTATAGGAGCTTTGTGTTTTATTATTTAAAAAAAGGCTAAATTAAATAATGTCAGTTTTGGAAAATGGCAMCTTGGGAAACAGTTGAACCTTACTCTAATGACCCCACGTCAGACCTTAAGTTTTCTGAAGAACCAGAGCGAGTATACAGAGGCTCTTACAAGATGCTTCTGCTTGGTAACATCTCCCAGTAAAGTACTTGAAAAAAATAAATAAGTAAAAGTAAAATTATGAACAGAAAAGGACTTTAGTGAAAATAAATTTCACTGATGAGAAAACTTCTTAAGTAAAAGTTATAAAACTGTTCACAAAAACAGAGAAAGTAAAAATAAAAAATMGTTTTACACACTCTCTAAGAAATAAACTGTTGAATTTACTGAACCTTGAGCGATATATGTATATTCTTTGCTCAGTTTACTCAACTAGGCTTACTGCAGCTGACATGATGTTGAGTAAATTCAACACTTCATTTTTTAGAGTGTATAAACATCTTTCATGATGAGTTCCAACAGATTCAATTTTGTAACGAGCAACTAGGTGTCACATTTTAAAGTAAAGAAGTAAAAGTAGCATTTTTAGCTTTAAAATGTAAAGTAAAAGTAGCTGTTTAAAAAATAATTGGTAAAATTACAAATCCTCAAAAAAACTACTTAAGTAGGCTACTGTAACAAAGTAAATTTACTTAGTTACTATAAACTCTGCCATACACATACATCAGTGTTAAGCTGCGTTTCTCAAAGAAACTAAATCTTTATTAAGCTGTTTTGCAATGAAATCATGAACATCCACCATTTGATTTGTTTTGCAAGTCTGGAGCTGTGTGGGGGAGGCGCGGGGGTGGAGTGCTCAGTGAGGAGGGAGCTTGGCCGCAGATGGAGCTCCAGGGAGGAGCTTTGAATAAGTAGGCGGTGCTTTGTACCAGCAAGTGTTGCGGCAGCTCTACTTGGCTACCACAGGAGAGTCAAGGATTTCTCAAACATGCATGAATGAGTCAAAGCAAACGCTCTGAGTATGTTTTTGATGAGGGAATGACATAAAATGATATAAAGCCCTCCCCCTTTAAGAGCTGATAAAGGTGACCAGCAGCAAAGGTTTTCTTCAGTGTCCATGATTTAAACCCCCATCAGCTGAGGGGCTATATGAAAGTTCCTCCTGCTGCTCTCCTCCCACAGTTTAATGGACGTGAATTCTGTGGCCCGTCGTGGAAAACCTGCATGAAGAGGACAAGGTTCCTCTGATTTATGGACTCAGCAGAACGTTGCTGTTCGGAGGAGTGCATTGTTTTTGAGCAGCCAGGCTTTTTACAGAGCTGACGGATTACTCATTCTGCAGCGAGAAGTGAGGTACGCCAGAGCTGTTATACCTCACTGCAGAATGAGTAATCCTCAGGTAATGAGTGAATTTTTCTGGATTAACGTTGACTTTTACGGGTTGATTCTGAGGGAGGCAAATTTCTTGTGAAAGCAGTTTGCTCTGGCATGCTCTGTGCATGTTAAAGGGATAGATTTAATCTTTTGAGGTGTGGTTTTGCGGATAGGATATGAACGGCTAATATCTTACCTGTTGTAGACGGCTCTTGAAAGGAACTCAGTTCGAAGAAATAGAATTYAAATCGGATCAAAGTGACGAGTTAAGACCAAATCTAGGCGCTGCCGACATAAAACCACTCTAATCTCAAAAATTCCTCAGTGTAAAATGAAAACTATTTTTTTCATCTTTACACTCATATTCATTTCAGCTTTGAAGTTGCTTTGTAAATAATTAATTTAATGTTACGTTGAAAGCAATGTAAAGCTTTATGAAATAGTATTTGTACAAATTGCAATGAAAGATTTAAAATTACAATAGTTTAAATGCATCTTGGCTGCGCATTGAAGTTGTTTTTAAGGATAATTTCCAACACGTTCAAATCTTCTTTTCTCCTGAGTGTTTTTGTTTACTCTCCTTTGGTTGTGCATCACTCACATTTCTCTCGACATTCACGGTCCGACACTTTTTTTGTTTCCCCTGTAATCTCCCTGAGCCATGTCCGCAGTTGGGACCGGTGCTTGTGTGCGACAAGGGCTGTGTGTGGCAGCCTGGTACAGCCCTTTCTCATGACTGGGGAAATAATCCTCACTAAACCAGCCTTCGCACACATAAACACAAGCTCTTTAGCACATGGGAATGCACAAAATGGCATACATATACACACACATTTGTCACACGGACCTCAAGCTTTCAGGTCTGCGGAACAAAGTCTCGCAAGCCCTGACTGTGGAAAACATGTGAAAAATAGACAGGAATTGTTCTTTCTTCATCTTTTGTTTCAGGTGTTGTCGTCTCAAGAGCTTCATCATGCTTTGGCTGCGTCCAGGTACTCTATCTGCTCTGCTCCTGTAGATTAGATTAGTTTAGACTGTAGTTGATCGTGTTTGTTTAAATTGCTTATCAAAGTAACACGGGTCGTATGAGTTTGTCTGTTTTTGAACTGAGAATTTTAAAATCTCTACGGTTTTGTCTAATTTAAATGTTCTTCTTCTTGTTTTAGTTTGTGTCAATTGTTTGCTGTAGGAGCATGTTTCCCCACTGAGCTGCATTTTCCAGATCAGCTTATTTGGACATTATGTTCTTGCATTTACTTGTTCTGGGTTTGATGCAACGTGAACTAAAAAGTCAGTTTAAATTATTTGAAATTTTAATACGAAATAACCTGAATAAACTAAACTACACATTTTTTTATTAATTTCTCTGAAGACGTTCCCCCCATATTAACTAGAATTCAGATGTTTTGTGTTTATACTTTTTTGTCAGTAGCATTGCACTGTTTCTCTAAGTTCAGCCAAGTTCATTATAATTGTTTGGATTTTGTTTACCCTTAGCTTGCCTCCACTGAAGGTGGATCATTTGTAACATTTATGCACCACAGTGCATTCAGATCTGAATTRCAGCATTCTTTATTAAAGGCTTAATATTCCTTCAAAGAATATACGACACCTACTGCTTTTCATGCCAGAGCCATGAACCCATTTTCAATTGGACTGGCTCCAAGTTAGATTTAGCTTTAGCGATACATCCATTGATTACTCCCTTAAAGTTTCATTAAAATCCATTCATCCATCTTTCGCAATCTGTTAGTGCTTAAAGTACGAGTTAGGGA